CTAGCTGCTTGCCGTTGGTTGGCAAGACTCGCGAGAATTAGCGAAGACGCTCGCTACCGCTATCTATTGCTTTGCTCGGATGGGATAGTGGCGGACAGACGCGCGTGTGTAGGTACCTAAGGTACGTAGATAGGTAAGGTGATGACGATGGGATGGTATTCTTGATTAGGAGGCGAAATTATCGAAAAGGGCCGGGCCCAGAATGGCAATGGCAGTCCTGATTTCGATATGCAGACGTCGATGGCGTTCGAGATTTCTTTTTTAGCTTCGCGGAGCTAATCCATGAGTTGCGTTCTTGGGATCTCTCATGTGATGGATCGGACGAGGCGTCTTCTATAAAGACTCGTGTTGTCCGCTTGTTGTTAGAATAGAAGATCTATATACTCATCAGACAATCAGACAGACAAGCAAAGTTATATATATATCTACTTAATTGGAAGTCCTCAAGAACTTCATCTCTATCCCCAACTTCATCTATCTACCTGTCTAATACCCAAACCCAAACAAACCCACCCCACAAACCCCAAGATGCGCACCTCAACCCTGCTCCCCATCTTCGCCAGCCTTGCTGCCGCCGCACCCGCACCCGCACCCGCCGCAAACCCCCAACTTACCACGCGAGACGCGCCGTCGCCCCCGCCCCGCATCGTATCGGTATCCTACTCGGGCAGCGGGTGTCCGTCGGCGTCGCCGGCGGTCGACCGCACGGGCGAGTTCGACGACATATCGCTGCGGCTGAACTCGTTCGAGGCCCGCACCACGTCCGTCGCCGACTCCTCCGTCAACTGCCAGGCCCACCTGTCGATTGCCGGGTCCGCGGCCGGCTGGCAGGTCGGCGTGAAGGACGTATATGTTAAGGGCCATTTGGTGCTCGACCCCGGCGCGTCGCTGGATTACTATGTTACGAGCTTTTGGAGCGAGGATGCTGATAAGACTGTATGATGTCCTCCCCGTTTTCCTTTTCTTTTTTTTTTTTTTTTTTCTGTTTTTGGGTTGATTTGATTCTTGGACAATCGAGATGTATTATCCCATGTAACATACGAGAGGTGTAATAATAAGCGCGCAAGTAAAATAGGTTAGCTAGTCAGTCACTAACCATCTCATCTCCCGAATAGGCCACGATCAGGGGCTCCCTAGCCAACACCGGCACCGGTCGCGTGAGCCAAGAAGTCACGGCGCATAGCACGGTTCCCGACAACCAGGTCGTGTACTCGCCCTGCACGAGCTCCAAGGGCGACGTCGGTCTGCTCAATGTCAACTTCCGCGTTGCTCTCCAGGCCGACGGCGCTCAGTACGGTTACTTCGGCAAGGACCCTGATACTACTGCCTCTGAGAGCTGGAGCTACGTCTGGCGCCGGTGTTAGATTGCTTATTATTATTATTGTTCTTTTTCGTTCTTTTTCGCTATTCTACAGTTATTTAGGGTCTTTTTTTATTTGAAGCTAGTCTTACCGGAGATGAATGGGAGACGCAAAACGAGCGAGCGTTTCTTGTAGGGCGGGTTTAGCGGAAAACATTGACTTTCTGTTCCTTTTGTTTAGCGGCATGGGTTGGGTTTGTATTGGATGGATTGTGGGGTTATTAAAAGTTTGATAGATGATATCAACCTATAGTTTATAAATATTTGTGTCTTTACCTTGTGTAGTTCGAAGTCTCGCATATCAGAATCTATAGTAGTATATGTCTCGACATCTCCGAGAGACTATCTGTGTACCTAAGGCAATAACAACAGCTTATTGAATTGTCTTATATTACAAACGCCTTATTTAACAGTGCAAAGTACGTGAATAATGATATGCTATTGTTTTAGTTATAACACCAATCTCGACTACTCAGCCGCTAAGCTTATCGTTATGGTCAACAACACAACTACAAAGACCTCTTCTACAACCCTCTAGGTGATACAAAGTTGGCCAGACACCTAGTTCTTGGCTGCTTTCGCCTGTGAAATTAGACTACGACCTATTTGAATCGTTTCATCCATTCCTTGCTGTCGTAGCCAGAATCTAAAAATATTAGTATGACGGCTCTCTAGTTGGGCTTGGAAGAAACTTACAGTTGTTCAGGGGTTCCTCCACCGTGAGCGGATATCTCACGAGCTTTGTCCTCTAAAGACTCCCGGGTAATCTTTTCCCCAACTTGTGGTGTGGGAGGCAGGGGTTTCTCAATAGCTTCAGGTCCCAGGCTCTCCTCTAACACCTGTTTCCTTATAGCAAAGCGCTCGGCTCGCTCCTTTTGAAGCCCGGGGGAATCCATCTGCTTCAACGCGTACCGAACCACGAATTGCGCGGCTAAGTACACATGTTCGGAAAGGAGGATGCTTAATAAGAGACCCCATACAGCAATATTAGATGGGTCACCGCCAGGGCCCTCGGAATCACCACTGAAGAGATACACGATTGCGGAGCTCACAAGGCTTCCAAACCAAGATAAGAAGCCGAGTGCGTTAAGCCATGGTCCGATTGAGTCATCTCTCCAAGGAATAGGCCTCTTGCTGCTAACCGCGATTTTCATGGCGTCTGATCGGAGCTCAACCCAGTTATTGATTAAGAAGCAGAGCGGCGTGAGTGGCCAAATTGCTGAAAAGAGGGATAGGTAACCAAATTGGATAACCATCTCCCTGTAATCAACAGTAACATCATATACGTCAAGTTGAGCCTCGTCGCGAACTCTTTCAAGGAACTCGTGTTCTTCGAGGACGTCGCTGGATGCTGAGGCCTTACCCTTGGATTGAACTCTCTCAACTTCCTTGAATGCCTTGCGCTTCACGTAAGGAACAATAGCCTCGAGCGCGAAATTTACGATTTGCGCTGTCACCGTGAAATATATCATCTGCTTCTTTAGACGATCGGGATTAATCTGAAAGCCCTGAGTAGAAATCGACTCCTCGCTAGAGAATTGCTCGGCGGTAGTCTTAAAAATATCCAGGTATGGCACGAGAAGATTCCCGAAGAGCATGTAAACAAATGCACTCAAGAAAAGGGGAGTATAAGAAGTGATAAAGTTAATAATGAATAACTTTCGAACAAGAGCGGCATGATGATCTGTATAGATGTTAACGACATACAAACGGGAAGATATTAGAGGAATTCACTCACTGTCTATTGTCTCATAATTCTCCATGTCAGTGAGCTTCTCTGCAAAGCTACTAAGAATAGTCGACAGTGCTGGCAGTAAACCGGTGAGTATTATTGTAGGCGTGAAAGTCTAAAAAGGTATTAGATAACATATCATCCGGCTAGGAGGTTCTACAAACCAGGTAAGATTTGAATGGGCCGTTATAGATTTCAGTGAGGAAGATCTCGATAGAGAAACAGAAGACATAGAGAGCCCCAAGGATTGCCAGACAGCCAAATGCAAACGGGATCTGTAACAGCTGCGTCTGAAACCTCTTCATTGGAGGATAAACTTTCACAGATTCACCAGTGATGGGATCTATGGCTTCATGTTCCCATTTAAACTGTGTTCGGGGCCGTTGGATACGAGATACTCCGCGAACACCCCATTGGACAGCGAGATCGACCTCCTTTTTCTTCCACCACTCGAAGAAGATGATAGACCAGAGGGAGCTAACAATAGCATAGAACCACGAATATTGACCAAGAATAAGCCAAGCGCCGAATCCGAATGCTGCCGGGAATATTAGAAATGCGAAATAGGATTGCATAAACGCGAAGTAGAAAGCAACGCTTTCGCCGAACTTATCGCGAATCTGGTCGAGATCCCGGTCGTCCAGGAAGTACTTAGTACTCCATTGTTTAATCCATCGTCGATTGAAGGCATGGTTATGAAGTGGGAAGATAGATTCCACGTTCCTCCACACGCCAATCTTGGGCGCAATACCCGCACCGCCTTGGTTCTTGGGCTTCGTGATCAGTAAGTAAACGGTACGCAGCCGCTCAGCTTCGGTGACAGGCTGATCGGCGAATTCCTTAGCCACGTCCTTGTTGGGAGTGGTAATTCGCACGCCATACAGCCAATCTTGAACACGTTCGCGATAAATATGATTGGTTAGATGTTTCTCAGATGCCACTTTAACAAAGACCAATAAGGAAGAGCCGTCGCCGTATCGAACTTCCGAAGCGAGCCCAACCCTAGTGAGGGCTTCAATTAGCTGGGTGAAGCCAGCTGCGGCCTCAGCTCTGTCGCTGGAAACCTTGTACTGAACGACATAATCTACGTCCATGTTGCCCCCGAGGTGACCGCCGTCGGAGGCATAGAGAGACCGGATGCTCGACATGATCTGGCAATAGTTGTAGTTATGCCGGCTCGGTGAGGCCTTTCGCCTTGAGTTGCCCAAGTATAGACGCCCAACTAATTATAATATGTTAGGTTTACGATCTGGATCTGGAAGGATAGGTTTTAAAGTATTAATAGAGAAAACCGAGGGTATGAGAAGTTTACTAGGAGAAGCGATTGTAGGAAGTAAATTAGGTAAGTAGAGGTATTACTCTAGATTGTGATCCTCCACAAAAACGAATTTGAAAGATAAATTTGGTCTTGCATGTGTTACATACGCGTACATGTGTGTAGCTGAATGGTCCGATATCAAGGAAAATCGGCAACAATAGAATCAAGTTGTTGATCAACGTCATCTCGCATTTGATACGATTGGGACCAATGACATCCATACTATCCTGGCCCGTGCGTTCCCTGTAAGTGCCCCGCGATGAGTTTTGGGTGATGTGCGCTGTAAATTGCTCTAAATAGTCGCCTGTAGCAAGCTTTAGCGCATCTTTACAGGGTTTGCAGGTATCATTAGCGAACACGTTCCGCTAGGATCTATGCCGAATGGGTCTCTACAGCTAGCCGGGGTCCCTGTTGTCGTTACATTTTGCGGCGGCAGAAACACAACGACATCTCTGTTAGGTCCAACAACAACCTTAGGACCGGGATATAGCTATGTTGCTTCTTATCAGGTATCTCCTAAAAGGCGATGCTATTATTACCCCCTTGGAATTTACCCCTTAACATTTACATCTCATTAACTACCTCCTACAATATTCTTCGTGAGCTTAACACCTAATTAGGCCCGCTCTCTAAGTCGTAGAGCAGCAAATAGGGCAGCAAGCAGGGCAGCAAGCAGAAATACCATCACCATGGGGCTGCTCGTTCATCTAGGCCTACGCCGTTCCAGCAAATGGGAGCGTCCGACTATACTAGATTGGCTCCTAGAGGCACCCCTTCAGGGGCTCATCTTCCATATATACCACATAATCTTATGGCTACGCAGCAACCGAACTAGGCCGCCACGGGGAAAGCATCCCATCAAGATTGTATGCTTATCAGATACGCACGAGTCTATCGTTCAAACCGTTCCTAATGGTGACTTATTAATCCATTGTGGTGACCTGGTGAATGACGGTAAAGCCGCCTCCATTCAAAGGCAGATCGACTGGCTGGCCTCTTTACCGCACCAACACAAGATTGTTGTCTGTGGTAACCACGATAGTTGGTTCGATATTAACTCTAGGACGGAGGAAGACAAGCTCAATGGTAATTCTGTTGATATGAGAACAATACATTATCTTGAGCATAAATCCGTCACCCTTGACTTTCAGGATGGACGCAAATTGAATATCTATGGTGCCCCTGATATCCCCGAGTGCGGTGGGCCTGATAATGCGTATGTATAAGCCAACCCCCTTTTATGATATCTGGACATGACTCCTGAACATAATTACTCTTATAGATTTCAATACACATCATATCAGAACCCGTGGGAAGATGCTGTACCTATGGATACAGATATTCTTGTAACGCATACTCCGCCAGTAAGTGTACACTCTTTCAACTTCGGCCAACCGCATCTAAAACATCTCACTTTAGAAACATCATCTGGATCTATCTCTTGGTTGTCCTCATCTGCTTCGAGAAATATGGCGGAAGAAGCCCAAAGTGCACATGTTTGGCCATATCCACTGCGGCCGGGGGTTGCAGCACGTGTTCTGGGATGAGTGTCAAGAGCAGTACGAGAGAGCCATGTCCCGTCCGAAGCCAGGGCTTTTCTACAACGTGCTTGACTACCGAGCCTGGATAGATGTATATCGAGTGCTATATTACGGCATAATCAGCATTTTATGGCACTGGCTATTCCTCGGCGGAGACGCAAACCGGAGCATCCTGATCAATGCTGGTATGCAGAACGGAAATTCGGGGAAATTGACTAAAAAAGCCCCTATAACGATCACAATTTGAGACCATAGGAAAGCTGCGCGGAGGCTTATTGGTAAGGAATAGCACCCAGGTGGTAATTAAACCCTTGTCCTAAGTTAGCAAGCGGGTTTATACCACAGGGGCTCGATGCCGTCATACCCGGGTCAAGGGCAGACATATTGGCTTAATAACGGAATACCGTGCCGGTTTGGATATAGGTTGAAAAGTTGAAAGCGACATTTCGTGAATACCGAAATAGAGGACGAAGATATCATATTTGATGGTTCAAGAAAAGTGTTTACTGGGTATTGACACGGGCTAGCTGGTAACTGAACATAGCATAAAAGCTTACAACCCGAATCCTACTTCTAGAAATTCGTCATCGTCATCATGCTGCCGTGCTGCAGTCTCTAGATATAAACCGAATCACGCCAACCCTCCCCCGATTCCATGAACTCCACACCATATACGTTATACAAGAGAGACCAAGGAAAGGAAATGTAGACAACCGACCGACCCGAAGAAATGAAATAGTATAAAGAAAGAGAACATATAAAGTAGGTAGACATCATCATAAGATAAGCATAATCCCAAACAGACCAAACCACGCCACCACGCCCCAGCCAACCATTTGTACCGCGCTCAGGGTCTCACTGCGAGGAGGGGCCGCAGCTACGAGGGGCTTTACGTTACTGCTACTAGGTCGAGGACTAGGTGGAGGCGGAGGAGTGAAAGTAGCCATCGCCACGGCTGCGGTCGTCCCGTTCGCGAGACCAGCCCCGTTGCTAATGAAAGGAATGACAGTCTGCACGGCCGTAGCGGTAACGACGACCTTGGAGGTATACACAGCTATTGGCATGGTCAACGTCACGGTACTCTCGCCGTGCGGACCGCATGCTTGACATGTCGCCTTGTACATTTTCATGGGTATGGCGGCGAGCGCTGCTGGGGGAGGGACCTTGGCCGTCGGGTAGGCTGGCTCGGGGTGGGATTTGGTGCAGGTGCATTGTGCGTATGTTACTGTCGTGTGGTATTCTACTTCTACCAGTTTTGCTGGGTTTGAGGCACATACGGTTGTGTATGTTATAGTTACGTCGGATGTTACCGTCGGGTTATGTGCTGGTTTTACTGATGGGTGATAGTGGCTGCCGCCCATTGCGGGTGCGGCCGGGGGCGCGGGTTGGTTGGATAGGTTTCCGTAGACTGTGAGTAATATATCGTCCATAGAGGTACTGTGGTGAGGTTGAGATGACGATGCGGAGGAATTTGTTGGGAGAGAGTGGCTGGGCGATCCTCGTGTCGAAGCTGAGTCGATGAGACCGCCGCAGATTTCGTGTCCGTTTCCAGGACACGGCGTATTGCACCGCTCATTCTCGACTCTGCTTGCTTCTCTAAGTGTATTGGCGCAGTAGCACGTGCTATGATGCCGGTTAGTATAACTGATGACTAGTAGGTTACTTGACGTGTACTTACTCGCCCTGCACACCAGCATACTTGTGTCCAGCACAAGCAGACACGCAGGCTTTTTTGTCCATATCTGCCGCCGACCTAACCTGCGCGAATTCCTCGTAGTTCCCATGGGGCCGGAAACACCCGAGAAGAGTGTGGTCGTTAATGTCCCTTGGATGTATCGCGGCGCCGCCAGTCTCGGTAGGTTTTATTGTGGATAACGTGATGGTGCGGGTATGAGTTGGAACTACGCCGGTTGGAGCCTCTGTTACGCTAGATGGTGATGAAATACTCGAGGATGTGGCGTTGGCGGAAAGGGGCGCTATCGTCATATCTGACAACGGTCCCATTTGATAGACGTCGATGAAATTGATATCCCAGTAACTTCCATTAAAATTAGTTGCTAAACGGCACTCCTTAGTTTATACGATTACTTACGCGCTTTGGAAACTATCAGGATTCCCAGCAACGAATTCCTCACACGTAGGGGCGAGGCGGTTGCACTGGTCAGCTTTACCCCAGATTTTGCCTGCATAATCGCCACAGAAGTTCTGTCACCTCGTATGAGTACATTGTAGCCCTACCAGTGATATAAACTCACTATATTTAATACGAGGCTCATGTTGAAGAAGTATTCGTCAGGACTGCAAGAAGAGCCGCCGAAAACGGCCTGTGGTGGTCCCCAGGTCGAAGGATCAGGTCCTAGGACGTGAGCGTACACGATGTTATCGGGGATCGTAGAGCGTGGGAAATGCCATAATTTCAGGTCTTCAGAATCCCACTCTAGAGCGTACACGCCACCGCCTTCGGCGTTAAAAGCGTCGCCATATGAAGTAGTGTCGGATGGAGGGGATACAGTCTCGCAGCCAATGTTATCAAGCTAAGTGCCATATATCAGCTACGTCCTGAAATGGTCATCACACTTAACTTACGGTTGGCGAGCAGTTTGCTCGACCTTGCTTCCCAGTGAAACCAGCACTAGGAGATTTGCATCCTGTAGTTCTGCTTCACTTAGCAGGGCTTCGCGGCTTGTAGACAAATATACTTACGTATGAGCAGAGTATAGGTTTCGTTGGGCGGTGTTGGCGCCATCTATGATGTCCAGTTCACCTCCTGAAGGCCATTCCGCTCCGTTATCTTGGTTATTGAAAGCCCAAACTAACGAACATGTCAGATCAAACTACGATAAGTGGGATAATCAGAACAAACATGAAGGCCAAGTGCCGCATGTCGACGCTGGCATATGATATATATCCGCGATAAAAAGACCATGAGTAAACGCATCATCACTCGTTAGCCGTACGCTGGGCCGCCCCTTATCGCTAGTCGAATACGTATTGTTTGAGTCAACGCCGAGTCTCACGCTATTGGAATCGCTCTCAATAGAAACTAGGTTCTTAGCTAAAGCGTCCTCTTTACTTTGGTAACTATTATAAGACAGTTAGATATATAGGCCAACGTTATTTAATAATAGTTGAATAGTGATGCATACTCAACAAAGCCATGGCTGGGATCGTTCCCGGTAAAGAAACTGAAGCTATCAAGCAGCCCCTGGCCGGCATAATGCGTAGTGAGTGAATATCCCGTTGCCATTACGGTGACTAGCCCAAATGAATGTCCAAAATGACGAATAAAGTAAAGGAGCGACTTAAAGGCTTAGAAAAGAGCGAAGTAAGAAGAGAAGTTGAGGGTAAAAGAGTGACTAAGCTTGTTAGCAGAGAAAAGAATGAATTGTAAGAAACGACCTGGCCTGGGATTAGAAGACCAAACTGAAGGACTTTTAAGCCCGTATTTGAAGCAAACTGTTGATATGGTCATGATCGCGGTTTTGGTGGAATGTCTATACTCTATACAAAGACGCGGTAGTGGGATGGAGAATGCTAATAAGACCTGAAGTTGCAGTGGAAGCTCTAGCTAACGTGGGTAAGACATGGGTGCTCTAGCAACGCGGAGAAAGTCTCAGGTTCAGCTAAGATGCTGACTTGTTCGTGAAGATATCTCGTCATCTTTATCAAGTCTTTAGTATATTATATAGAGGTTAAATGATTAGTAGTCTCTTGAAGATTGCAATATCGACTTCGATATATGAGAAAATAGAGGATTGATTAAAACCAGCCTTAAAGCATAATATTTTTTAAATATGTTCAACTGATTTAATACCTTTTATGTATAGGTAAATATGCTTCCCACACGTCAAGCGCGGATCTCCATTCCATTCCTTATATCACCTAACAGAACATAGGTGGATAATAAGGCGTTTAGAATACCATAATGCCATTGCATAGCCTTTTCATCTAATCAAGACTGACTAATTTTGATTCTTAGGTCTTTACTGTTTGTTTCCAAGGGAGGGGATCGGAAAGCAAACTTGTCAAGTTGCTTGAGTTTTGTTTGGCACTTGGCACTTAACTAGCACTGATAGATCCGAGTATTGGCTAGCAAACGCGCAACTGCTAGCCAGATCTTCAATATGTAGATCTGGCTCGTGTAATACTATTTATCCAATCATCTCATCAAACATCTAGGTCGTATCGTTCTAGAAGATTTCGAAATCATATGAAGCAGCAAGTAAGCGTTACGCAGCAGCGATGATGTAATGAGATGTAGGATTGGATCCAATGCGAAAAATCTAATGCGAAATACGCTTTGCATGTGAAAATGGAAATCAAGAAGATGTGGCTCGGTCATTTGACAATTGATCTTGTGAGATGAGGCTAAGCCACAAGACAAATTCCCGCAAGTCGCGGTTAAAGCGTTAATAAGTTGGGTACTATGTACATAAGTCTGGGGAACTAGAGATGCATAGATTTGATTTACCTCGGCATCGGGGATCTGGCAGCCGAAGCAATCCACTTGCACAGCCAATTTCCACATGCGGCTGTAGCTTACGTCCTTCCGGACATACTGCCGACGCCATTTTGTTAAGGTTCGCGGTTGAAGAAGCTACGGTCTATCGGCTAACCTCTGGCAAGTACGAAGTTTAGGGTATCCTTAACCCGCCAGCCCGCCTTTAATTCCCTTAATTCCCTTAATTAACAAGACTCCATTGACCGGTGCCCCGTTCAAGGAAAATAGCCTAGGTTCCACACTTACATACAAGGACACCATACCCGTACCGCATCATACCGCGGTTCCTTTGATTACCATAGTATCCACGAGACAGCTTACGGGCTTGTTGGTCATTGCTTTCTTTTTTCCTTTTTCTTTTCGTATTTTACTCTGTATTCAGAGACAACACCTTTGGTAATGTTGAGTTCGTTAGCAAAGAGTCGGGCACAGGCTACCGCTCTGAGAATACCCGTAATAAGACAAGCTATAACACCTAAGGTGCGTACTCTGAATCCCCATCTTGAATATCGAGTAATAGCCCAAAGCGCAAAGCTAACATTTATCGACTATAAAGAGTATATTAATGGCGCCGGCAGCGAGACGGAGCAACAGCTCCCTTCCCGCAGGTTAGTTCTATGAGCGCAAGAGAGAGGCAACTCGGCTTTTCATAATCGCTAATAAAACGATATAGGGTATGTAGAGGACAAGTCAAAAGGCGCAATGCTTCGATTCCAAGAATCGCTTCCCCGACTACCAGTCCCGACCCTCGAAGAGACAGCCGCCCGCTACGTGAAGAGCTTACATCCCTTGTTAAGCCCCGTCGAATATGCCGCAAGTAAGAAGGCTGTCGACGAATTCATAAAACCTGGGGGTGTAGGACAGAAGCTACAGGAGAAACTGATCGCGCGGCGTGAAAACCCGAATATCAAGAACTGGTTATACGAGTGGTGGAACGACGTAGCGTACCTAAGTTATCGAGACCCTGTTGTTCCCTATGTCAGCTACTTCTACTCTCACCGAGATGACCGACGGCGGAGAAACCCCGCAAAGCGCGCTGCGGCCCTGACTACCGCCGCGCTCGAATTCAAGAAGCAAGTCGACACCGGCTCGCTCGAGCCCGAATATATGAAGAAGCTGCCGATTTGTATGGACAGCTACAAGTGGATGTTCAACACCAGCCGCGTACCAGCTAAACCCGCCGATCACCCGGTCAAATACGACCCCAAGGACCATAAGCACATTATTGTCATCCGGAAGAACCAATTCTTCAAGGTCGCTCACGAAGTCGATGGAAAGCAGCTCAACACTTCTGAGCTTGAGTCGCAATTTGCTCGCATCTACGACCTTGCAAAGGGCGCCCCTGCAGTGGGAGCTCTTACTTCTGAGAACAGGGATGTTTGGACGGACGCGCGCAAGGTGTTGCTAGATGCTTCGCCTAAGAATAAGGCAGCCATTGAAGCCATTGAATCGGCCTCTTTTGTTGTGTGCTTAGACGATGCTTCGCCAGTTACTCTCGAGGAGCGCGCACACCAATATTGGCACGGTGACGGCCAGAACCGATGGTATGACAAGCCCCTACAGTTCATTGTGAACGACAACGGTACGTCTGGTTTCCTGGGCGAGCACAGCATGATGGACGGTACACCTACACACCGTCTAAATGATTATGTCAACGATGTCATCTTCGGTAACAAGCTCGACTTCAGCAACCCGTCAGTGCGATCCAACCTACCCGAGCCAACTCCGGTCAACTTCGAAGTCACCAAGGACGTGCAAGCAGAGATCGACCGCGCGGTCCGGGACTTCAATGAGGTCATCGGAAAGCACGAGCTCGCGGTCCAGGCCTACCAAGCCTACGGCAAGGGCCTGATCAAGAAGTTCAAGTGCTCGCCCGACGCGTACGTGCAGATGGTAATCCAGCTGGCGTACCACAAGATGTACGGCAAGAACCGACCAACGTACGAGTCTGCCGCGACCCGGCGTTTCCAGCAGGGGCGCACAGAGACATGTCGCACCGTCTCAGACGAGAGCGTCGCTTTCTGCAACGCCATGGCCGACTCCGAGGTTTCTGAGAAGGACCGCGCGGACCTGTTCCGCAAGGCCGTCGCTGCGCATATCGAGTACATCGGCGCCGCGTCCGACGGCAAGGGCGTCGATCGCCACCTCTTCGGTCTTAAGAAGTTGCTCGAGCCTGGCGAGGATCTCCCTGCTATTTACAAGGACCCGGCTTACGGCTACAGCAGCTCCTGGTACTTGTCTACCAGCCAGCTTAGTTCCGAGTTCTTTAATGGTTATGGCTGGAGCCAGGTCATTGATGATGGGTTCGGAATTGCGTATATGATTAATGAGAACAGGTGAGTCTTTTTTCTTTTTTTCCTTTTTTCTTTTTTTTCGAGGTGCCCCTTCTTTTCCAAAGCTGCCATATATGCAAGAGACAAAAATGCTAATGTACTCTAACAGTCTCAACTTCAACATCGTGTCCAAGGGCCTCGGCAGCAATAAGATGAGCTACTACATCAACGAAGCCGCTAACGACCTCCGCGACTTATTACTCCCTACCATCGAGCCGCCCAAGGCCAAGCTGTAAGGAACAGGCCCTTTTCTGCATGCGTTTTTATGTATGTCGTTAGCGAGAGAAATGGAGGGTATATGTATCTCTCCCCCTTTGTATTCGGTATATACCGTCGCGTGACTTGTTGGCGCATTGAGCGCTTCTCCCCAACAGTTTTGGTTTCGCTAGGTTTCTAGAGCATCGGACCGGTGTTGGTGGATATTCTATATGTACCTACATAGAAGCTTAGATAGGTAGGTACCTAGGTAGCTATAGTGGCTACATGTAGCTTTGTCGGATAAATCAAGAGTTTAAGAAGACAAGTCATACAATCGCATGGCCTATTTCAGTTCCGTTTAAAGATATGAGAATATTTCTAGTTATGAATGCTTCACCTAAATACGATATGCTGTCTAGGCGATACAGTAGACACTGTAGGCACCTAGAGGTCGCGAGCACGCCCGGGTATATCCTGGCTTTACACTACTTTAATTTCTTCAACGGCTCTCTCAACCCCCGGGTAGAACGTGCTTTCAAACGTATCTGGCCTTACATATAAACGAGCTGCACAATTCAATCCAACTTCCACAGTCGCCCATGACCTAAGTGTGTATGTATGTATGTATATATATATATATATATACACATGGTACAAAACCCTACAACCCCTTAACCAGCGTGGTCGACGATCTCATTAACCATGTCGCCCTTCGCCTCATCGTAATACGAGCAGATCTGGCCAGGGAGGGGAATCTCCTTGTAATCGTCATCGGGGCCGGCGACGATGTTGATGTTGATGCCGGAGGACTTGGAGGAGAAGACGCGGGTGGAAGAACTCTCCTTGCTGAGGTAGATCTGGGCGCCGTCAACCTGGTCGAGCAGGACAGTGGGTAGGGTGCCGAGGACCTGGAGAGCGAAGTTGGACGACTTGACCACGTCGACGGTCGATACGAGAGAGTCGATCACGATGCTAAGTCGCTGCGTGTTCTCAACTGTAATCGCGTTTGCTTTGCCCTTTATAATGATGGTCGTCTGGTTGCATCGGCTGATTAGGATCGAGTGCGACATCTCGGCCTCGATCTCGATCGGCTCGGGGTGCTTCTCGAAGTTTTCCTGGTGGCTATTAGTTTCTGCATCACTCAAGAGTAAATGAGCCTAGGAGAAGAGGTAAAGGGAGACGCATACGATTAACCATTTGTTGCCATCAAGCTCCTTCTTGGGAGGCTTCTTGAGGCGCATGCTCTCGGGCTTCGGCTTCTTCCCGGGCGCTGGACTCTTGCCCCTGGCAGAGGAATCCGAGACGGTCGAGCTTGCCCTGAGCCCCGGGTTCTTATGTGTCATTTCTGACCTGTCGACCTTCCTTAGGCCTTTGGTCACGTTCTCACCCTTATTTAATTCACTAAACACTGCGCCCATCCCTTCTGGCTTGGAGGCCGCGGGTTGATCCTTGATCTGAAGAACAGGCGGCGGACCCGGGGGTGGCGGCGGCGGCGGCAGGGCACCACCTGCAGCTGGGGGAGGAGGGGGCGGCAGGGCTGCAGCACCAGTCGCCGGAGCGGACTCTAGTGACCCCGCGACCTCGGATGCGGGCTGTCCGGACGGGTTCCAGGGGATACCGTTGGGAAAGTATTGCTTAATGTAGTCGGCAAGATCACGGAATACTTGATAGAAGGACTGGATCCATTCAACCTGGTCGGCGTCCCTGAAACTTGGGTTAGCACTAGCTTTATGCTTAGGTAGATATAGCTTAGATATAGCCAATCTCTTACTTCTCCTTGTGCTCCTTCAGCACTCGGTTTCCAAAGAATTGCGCCGATCCCAAAGACTCCTCGACATGCTTGAACGGCTTGTTTTCGACTGTGACCCAAGCCAGTACCATAATACCCTCCGAGACAGCGCTTAGCTGGGAGAAAACGGCAGAACCGCGGTTAGACTCTTTAATGCTACCGACGGCCATGAGCGCCTCGTTGATTGGCTTGAGCAGCTCTTGGTAGACGACCATTTCTGATCCCGTTATGTCGGGCTTCTTAGCCTTGGTAGATATCAGCAGGAACCGGCGCTGCTGCTTGAACCCCTCCAACACCTTAGAAGCCTGTTCAGCGATCAAGCCGCCTAACTTGTTGCTAGCCTTAACATATTTATCAACCGACTGATCGATGAAAGCATCGAATTCCTCAATAGACTCGGGTAAAGGTTCTTGAGGCACTTGCACGGGTGCAGGAGGGGCCGGCGCGGAAACAGCCTGCTGTGGCGTAGGCCGCGTAGGGCTCGACGTGTTAGACGGAGTTGCGACGGTAGCTGTGAGGTCGGGGACAGCTTGAGGTAGCTCTACTGTCGACGAAGCAATATCCTCCAGGCGAGTAGTAGCAGCTTCTAGCCTAGGCATAAGAGTTAGAATATCAGTTGATCTCAGCTGCGGATGGAGTAGGTATAAGAGCCGAGATGCTGAGGATGCATAACGCTTGCCATAGGGGAAGGGGGAGGGGGGGGGAGGGGGTAACATGGAAAGGGATTTAGGGACAGTTTAGGCCAGCTTACCTCTTGATTAGAGTAACTAAATTATGTATGTGGTTCTGTGCCATATTGGCAGTTGCGCCTAGCTGGTAGTGACAGATGCAGCTGAAGGATATCAAAAGTTAAGACTTAACAACGTTACGACGTTTCCAAGCTTCGATTAGGGGGGAAGACAACGTTGAACTCCCGACACAAAGAGGCGCTTTAATTCGATACGGAAAGGAATGGAATAACACTTAAGTCGGACTAGCGACTATGAGTAGAGATTTATGTGCTTGTAAAATGTTGATGCCTTAAGTATGAAAGGTAGGAGAAATAATCGAGATGATGACGATGAGGCCAACGATAGAGTTTAGGAATTTCGAAATTCAGACAACCGCCAAGAAGCTGGATTGAAGCTTTACCAACAGGGATACGTACCCTTTTTTACCTTCCCTTACCAAACGCGATTGGTCTCTTATCCTAAATAGTATAGGTGGGTCTGTGCTACTGTAATGTTGATTGGCTATAGATGCATTTACCTGCAGGCATTGGTCCTACATGTATTGAAACACAAAGGCGTGTACCGAAGTACTTGCAGAATACACTGCCAAACTGCTTAGGTGTACCTAATCTATAGCTACCTCACATTGCAACTCGAATGTTGTAACTTACATCCCACCCAAAAACCAACAAATTTCATATTAAAAAACAACCGTCAAAAGTGAGGCTGCATGCAGAAGCTCAGCCTGGTCGATTATTTTCTGCCTATCAAATATTCCCTTAACTCTTGAGGCGCGAACCTTCTAAACTGTTACTCACTGCCACATTTAAGAGGGCGGTCTAGGGTTGAGGGTTCATGCACTCCAAAATCTACACCGACCGTATGATATCGTACATGACATGACATGACATCTAAACAGTCATCCGAGGAGAATTAAAATATTAAGTTTAAGACTCGAAAAAGAGAGACAGAAGGATAAGCTATGGATGACCAAAATGTGCCCAAAACTGAGGATGGCGAGACGCCTTCTCAAGAGATAGACTTCGTCACCTTAGGAATGTTTATTATAGGTACGGTACATCCCCCTTCCTTACCTACATAAGTTCGTCCCTCGAGATCAGGTACCCGTTTCTCATTGGATCCGCCCGTCGTCATCCATCGACCCGTGATCGTGAATACCAAAGCTTTGGTGGCACCTGAGGGTCGGATCGGTTGACTGCATTTGGTCCAAGTGGGATCGATCAACGGAGAGCTATGATACTACTAAACTTACTTACACTTGGGGACATGTTACTATTCGAATTCTCGAGCATATGCCATATTGATATCTTGATATCTTGATCAGTATCGGTATACTCTAAAACTAATATACTCTAACTAACGTAATTAAATCTCAAGATGAAATTGAATACCAGCCGCCGCAACCCCCGGTAAGAGACATCCTCGGCGGCGCCGGCACCTACTCCGCCCTAGGGGCACGGTTGTTCTCACCGCCACCGCTCTCAAACTCCGTAGGTTGGATCATCGACAAAGGTTCCGACTTCCCGGAAGCGCTAGAAGACCTCATATCCACCTGGGAGACCTCCGTGCTGATCAGGCCTACGCCCGAGCGTCTTACTACCCGCGGTTGGAATGGCTATGACGAGCATCAGAACCGTGCTTTCCGCTATATGACCCCCAAGAAGCGTCTGACCGCCGAGGATCTAACCCCAACTCTACTCGCCTCCCGCTCCTTTCATCTCATCTGCTCGCCGACCCGGTGCCGTGAGCTCGTGACCGAAATCCGCGCTAGGCGGAGCGGTCTGACCAGCGCAGATGGTGGCCCATTACCCAGGCCTATCTTCATCTGGGAGCCCGTACCGGATCTGTGTACTCCGGACGAGCTGCTAAATTGTACTAATACCCTCCCTCTTATCGACGTTATTAGCCCAAACCACTCTGAGCTAGCCGGTTTCATGGGCGACTCGGGGCTAGACCCGGACACGGGTGAGATCAGCACGAAAGCCATCGAGCGGGCCTGCGAGCAGCTGCTAGGTTCTATGCCGCTGCAGTCCTTCGCCATCGTAGTCCGCGCCGGCGAGAAGGGTTGTTACCTAGCGCGGAACGGCGGGCGAAAGCGCAAAGTACCCGGCAAGCAGCCGAAGCGCAAGAAGCCTTCCGCCTTGCTACATGGCGGCTTACAACCGGACACGGATATGGAAGCGCTATTCGCAGGGCTCCTGCAGGACCCTGAGGGCATGGTCTCCCGCGAGGAGATCGAAGTCGACCCAGGTGTAGAGCGCTGGCTCCCCGCATACCATACCGGCTCGCCCGACCGCGTCGTCGACCCTACAGGTGGCGGAAATACCTTCCTCGGCGCCCTAGCCGTCGCCTTGGCAAGGGGGAAGAGCCTCGAAGAGGCAGCCGCATGGGGCAGCGTCGCAGCTAGCTTTGCCATCGAGCAAGTCGGCACACCAACGCTAGGCAAAATCAAAGACAGGAACGAGGACGGAAAACAAGGCGGCGAAACCTGGAACGGAGTCCGTGTCGACGATAGGTTCGAAGAATTCAAGGATAGGCTGGCTTTTACTAGCTAACTAGCGTGACGAAATACCAAAAAAAGAAAACCGGAAGGAGAGGAAAAGAGAGAGTGCATGGATGTATAGATGGGTGGGTACCTAAGGTTAGATGAATTCAAGGATATGATATTTATCTTGCGGAGACGCGGAGGGTAATAAAAAAACGAGAGCGGGTGCGGCTTGGTATAGATCATCAGTCAATTAATCAATCACGTCAGGGGGCCTGGTAACGGGGACGGTGGTTTTTTTTTCTTCTTTTTTTCTGGTTACGGCTTTTTACCTGTCTAGAGTGGCGACGAATTCTTATACTACCAGGTTGATTAGACTAGAAATGAGTACCTATACAATATTCTAAGCATTTGAACCTTTTAGCATAGTCGTGTTAACCTTTTAGCATAGTCGTGTTAAAAGTCGATGGCCGAGTTATCAGACAAAACATTTATTAGGTCGCTTATTTAGAAATCTTGACTCTTAAGAATCTCTCTAACATAGGTCACGCTGAATTCGCAAGATAATAAGTAAGAGGTAGATAATCGAGTTTCATTACTATGCGTACCATGCCAATCGCTCTATAACGTCTAGGTCGTGGGCTGGCAAAGCCGTTTGTATTCATAACAGCCCTTTTACCATCCGATCGACCGTCTCCTATACAGGTCTCAGCGCCAGCTTGATAGCGACACCACCAGGCCTCCCAAGACCCGCCAACCCCGTCGATAGTGTAGAGGCCGAGCCCAGCTTTTTCTTTCCCCACTTGTGATATGTGAAGTTCCCACTACCTTTTCTAACTACTGTCATTTACTTGGGTAGATCGCTTAACTGTTCAAGTAGTTACGAATAGCACCCTGGAGTCTGGTAGCGCCTTCGCCTAGCGCGCTTGTAAGGTTATCCAGATCGTCGCCAGCGGTGATACCGAATTTGCGGACGAAATCCTTGGCGGCCGTTTCGAGGTCGCCGTAGTCATCCGCAGGATCTTCATCCTCGGGTCGACCAAAGTACGCGTTGGAGGAAATAGCGGTGGCACCTTCGAATCCTTGTAGGCGCGTCTTTGCCTCGGCCTGGGCGTTGGGATCGAAAGAACCCTTTCCGAAGAATTCGTCCGAGGAAATTCCTTTTTGGTTACCAAATTTGTTACGGGCGTAGCGCTCGTCATCATCTAGTATACCATTTAGTACATATTGCTAAACAGTGGACACGATTGTAAAAATAATAGAACCTACCTTCGGTAGTTGCTTTAACCGGTCCAACTGAGCCGAATCCGCCGGCGTTCTTCTTGGGCGCGGCGCTGGCAGCGGCTTTGCCACCACCAACTTGTCCAAAGCCTAATCTTCCTAGGCCCATGCCTAACCTCTCAACCTCGGCTGCTGACTTCTCGCGAGAGTGACCGGATCCGTATCCACGCGGATTCACTGGCGTGGGCGAGATAACATTGGAAGCTTCGGTCTTAGATGTAGTGGTCTGCTTCGCCTCGGCTTCTTCGGCTTCCGGATCGTAGCCCAATTTCGCAATTCGCTCGGCCTCCTCCTTGGCTTTCTTCTCGGCCTCGTCGAAGTCGATGATATCTCCTGTAACCTTCTTTGCTCCAAGCTTGGCAGTAGTCTTCTTTGCGCCCAGCACATTAGCTTTGCGAGGCGCTGAGGGGTTTGTCTTGCGAAGCGCAGCAGAAGTGGTGACTCGACTAGCAGCAGGTTTGGCTTCGGATGCGGAGTCAGACTTAGATAGAGGGGACGAAGACCTGGAAATCTCCTTGCCGTTGGCACCAGCGTTGAGAAATGGGGAGGCAGTACGACCGACAACGGGCGGCGTATTAGTTCGCGAGATAGGTGGCGTAGGCCTCTTGATGGACGGCTTGTCCCATGAAGAAAAGAAGTCGTCATTTGGCTCACTAGAAGGAGTTGCACTCCCCTCGGCGCCTTCTCCAGCTACGTCAGTGACGACAACCTCTTCTGGGTACTCGAGCGCGTCTCGTGCAGCCCGCTTCTTAAGCTCCTCTTTGTACTTGGTCGCGACGTTAGACTGGTACTTGGTCTTTGGGTCCTTGCTAGCGAGTGCGGCGCTACCGCCATTTGCGCGGAAGTACTTGGTAGCGGACTCGTTACCGCCAACTTTCATAACACGTAACTGATCCCATTGCCACTCTGTATATATTATTAGCGCTGTGTGGTTATAGGAAGCGGGGCTCGAGGCTAAACTCGTGAAAGCGACGTACGATCAAGGTTGGTGGAGCGAACAAAGGAGATATGGACACCGAGATTTCGGTGGTTAGAGGAACAGTCGAGACATAAGTAAATGCCAAAGGGGACCGAGGTCCAAGTAGGGTTCTTCTGGCCGCAATCAAAGCATATCTTTGAGTGCGCGTTAGTAATTGAAAACACGTATTCATCGCGACGATAAGTGGATTATCACGCACCCTATTTGCTGACTTGGTCTTCAACTTCTCGAAGATCTTCTGCGATTGCTGCTTGGTTGCAAGCGCACTCATCTTGCTAATTAAGCCCCGTTCGGGCAGGATGCACAGTATAAGATATAGAGGTTTTGGGGTGTTGGGGCGTAGGGGAAAGACGTCGGTGTTCGTTGTTATTCGACGTGCTGAGGAAAGAAAGGGATAGGCTGGCGGTTGAAAGTCGAGAAAGTCGACGTTGAAATCAGGAGTTCGGCCAGATTTCGCCAAATGCCAACTTCAAAAGAATGGGCCCAACGGACCCACATGCTATTAAACAAAATAGAGCTAGTCTAGAATTAGAATAGTACTGAATTTCCTCCGTTCAACGGTAGCAGGGTGGGTCCGGAGGTACCGGTGTACATAACCTTCCCTGCATTCCCTGCCTTCTCCACCTTCCCCACATTACATCGCATTTGCAGAAGCTTCAACTAACTTCCATTTTGAAACTTCATTCATCGCCTCTTTTTCTCTGTCGCAAAGCTTCAAACCATCACAAGAAGCAGTCCCTTCAACAGCACAAGCACCGATGGACTTAATACCGCCGTAATGAAGCTCCCACTTCGGTCATTCGGCTCTCCCGCTATCATCCCACGATTACAACCCTCTATTGCCTGTCGCACCTACGCTACTCATCATAGCCAAGGAACCAATTCAGCTGCTTCGAAGAGGAGGGCTGTGACGCCATTCAACGACAGTGGGTTCGTGCCTTGGAGTGAGCTCTCCGCCGGTGAGAAGGCGTCGCGTGCCACGCAGCAAACCTTCAACTTCGGCCTTGTCGTAGTTGGTTTGGTTTTGACGGTATAGCTCCCGTCTATCGCATCACTTAACAGTATGCTAAGGTATTATTCATTAGGGAGGTGTTAGCTATTTCCTCTATACAGACGTATTTTCTCCTGATAGTAAAACTGCCTACTTCAACCGAGCCGTCGACCGAATCAAGAAAGATCCGGAATGCGTACGGCTGCTTGGCGATAGTAAAAAAATCATAGCACACGGCGAAGAGACTATGAATAAGTGGCGCCGCGCCCGCCCAATTGCGTATGATGCTCCCGAAGTAGAATTGTCTATTATCTTGCTAACGATAGGTACCAGGTCAACGCAGTATACGGATGCAAAAGGTAACCAGCATCTAATCATGCACTTTTATGTAAGTCTACTTCGTCAGCTATGAGCTTTAACGGTTCTGACGTCGCATAGGTGGAAGGACCGCTAAATAATGGTGTGGTGAATGTGCATCTGATAAAATATGCCAATCATCACGACTTTGAATATAAGTACTTCTGTGTTGACATCAGGGGCCATTCGAGGATTTACCTAGAGAACGCTGATTCTAAACCCGCGGGTGAAGGAACGAGGAGTTTCAAAATGTTCGGAGTGAACTGGAAATAGTATGTATTGTATATATTAACCCCCCTTACTAGCCTGATAGATATCGAAACCACTGTGCATGTAAATCGCGGCCCAAAATAACTAGGAGGTAGCCAGTCTTCCGTGCGCGCTCTTCTATGAATATTTATGTTAGACGCCCTTCATCTACTTTTAGAGCTACTTTTCTAAGTTCAAATTACTCTTCCTTTTGAATTATATATTCCAACATGGTTGCCTTTTAGACTCATTCTGTCCTCTCCTCTCCGCCTCTTCTTCCATGATGTAATGACGAAAAATCTCTTTTCTACTCTGCGTATATAATACTCTCGAAACAGCATACCTCTTGATTACTTGCTTTAGAGCTTAAATGAATGGAAAGTTTCATGATCACGAAACTAACGAGCCTACTAACAAGTTTGCAATATATCTTGCTTTATGTTAAGAGACTATATGGCACTCAGAGGAGTCAAGGAGTTTGTAATAAGACTTGGGATCATAAGTCCGAGTACCTAAAAATATAATGCAACTAACTACATAGAAATTACTATAAAACTTGCTATTTTAGCTTTCTCTTATTCAAGCTATAAATTGAATATTCATTTGTTCTTGAGTATGGAAACTTGATAGGATCAAACCCATAGGTACCAAAACTTGCTTCATCCTCATGATGTCCAATGATTTTCACGAAATATTCCTAAATCCCCCAAAATAGGGGCTGTCCCGGGTGTCTTAGTTGTCCATCTAAACATCTAATACATGCCTACACACAGGTGGGTCAGTAGTGAGTGCCTATTACTCAATGGTAAGTCCCTATTCTATTCTATTATAATAGCGCTTCATTTTTATTAGAAACAGTATTTATATTCATGTCCCAAGGACTGTTAATAATCTCACAACCCTAAATTTTAAAATAGGGGGCTTCCTTTAAGCAGCCTACTATTATTTCCTCAACTGGTAATGTCCAGAGTTCATAAAATTATTACACGATTGTTACGGTTCGTACGGGGTATTGAACAGCCGTAACAAGCTTGTGGCAGGCAGCATTAGGGCTCACCAAGAAGGGGGTGACAGTGCAAGACCGTGTCAAGGTCACTGTATCAGCGAGAGTATCGTATCAGTATAGTAATAGTAATAATCGATTAACTAGGAGAGTAAGTTCTAGCTACCTGTTTAATGACTGTGCAAATACGTTAGCATAGCTAGCGTTGTGGGGATAGTTGATGGTCCTGCAGTTATCCCCAACAATAATAGAAAGACTGTTCATATAAATAATAAAAACTGAAGGCTATACCCCCATTGAGCAAAGAAAGGTTTCCTCTTCAGACGAGCAACCACGATAGCTAGGCAGTATCCCATTCAGTTCGAAGGGGCTATGCGTATCTATCCCCGTGAATCATGACTATGAGGTGAATTCAAAGTATTACCAAGTAGAATACAAACTCAGTTGGTAGTCTTTAGGATTGATGACTAAGTAGGATTGCTTTCCGTATCTCTATTTTCTAAAGGGGCCATCGTTATTTCTTATGGGTTATAATTGAGTATAGTTATCTTAAAGTTTAGTAATAGATAAGTTGGTCTTTGTTAGATGATTGTAGATACCTTATAACAAAAAAGTTCATTGATCTAAACACTTATAAACTCTTATGCCTCCCTTAGTCAGAACTTCTTTTAGAATAACTACCAGCAATGATAAGGCAACAACGTACTTTAAATCGTGAGAGATAGTTCAATTTTAGTTTTGGTACAGGTGTGATACACTTATAACCATCCTCGAATCTTTAAGTTCGTGACGCCTATCGAATATAAGATAGTAGTGAGTCACGGGTTTACTAGCAAACACCTAGTCCAATAGAGCCTATTAATATCCATATCTTTTTCTAAGCTATGAAGTCTTCTACGTGGATGACTACCTACTCAGTTGGATTACGTAATCTGTACCCTTGCCCCTTAACAGCTAAGAGATTTGGATGCCATTGAACATACTTCCCATATCAACTTATATTAAGTAGGTATGTATCTATACATTCATGTCGATCTACGTTTTAGCCAATACTTCAAGAGTTCTCTTATCTAGCTGAGAAAACGCAGGCTACTGTTAATCCATATCTGTGATCTTACGCTAAGAAATCGTGTTATTATCAATCTTCTACAAGATGTTTGCTAGCTATGAGATATTAAAATATGAGTAACAGCTAAGAGAAATGAGTATATTTATGAGCACTACCTCATATATCGAAAGTCTTTCTGCTATGTCATTTCTAACTCTTATCGGCAGTTATATCCTAGTACCTTAGTACCTATCTAGGTACATATGGACATGTGTACTCTTACTCAACGTGACGTTATTCCATGTAAAACAGTCAAACTATCTGAGTCAACTGTTCAAGGGGCCTATAGGTGTTTAGCCCAAGTATTATGATCTCCGATAATGACTTCGACGATCCCGTTCTCGGAGTGCATAGTACCTCGTATCTGTTTCAATGAAGTATAAATGCTACTCGCAAATGATCTGCGATGGCTTTAAGCGGACGTTCCCTAATTAGGTTAAGTTTCTAACTTGTAAGACATTGTATCACAAGAGATAGAGGATGAAAACATTCACAATCCACATAAACGCTAACGGAGAAAAGTCCGGGGTCATTTGTGATACGTACATCCTATTCTTCGGCAAACCACGTAAAGTCAGAAACAATTTTTAGAACAAGTATATAGAATATGAATTCTGGTATCTCAGAAAGACTGTATGGCGCCTGGCTATCATATGATGGTTTCTTTTGTTCTATATACGAACATTTATTCTGATATTCACGAGGACTTTAATAGTTACCTAATGGCTCGGTATTTTTAAGGAACTACTTAAATATGGTTGAAATAAATTATTGGAATTAAGTCAGAGTATAAATACATGCTATAAGGTAACTCAGTGTACCAGGAGAAGCATGTAAATTGGTGCTGCTTGGTTTTAACGTAGATATCGCAAAGTACCTAAGGTAATACGTGATTTGCCACTATGTAGGACTTACAGAAATCCTCAAGTATATCTCTGGACTAGAAAATGAAACCTATAACGGAAAATCAGCTGGAATATTCTATATGCTGGACCGGAACCGAGCCTGAGGATCTGGGTCGAAAACTAATGCATGGTCAAGCCTAAAGGTTAAACATACATTAAGTATTTTGGGTTTTCACAACTAGTGTAATTCGTTGGGCTATCACTAGGTGGGGTGAAGACAAGTCGGGATCACCCCCGGAACCTGGAGAAGTTGCCAAGGGGGTACAAAGTCTAGCACTTACAGATGGCGTCTATTTATTATAGGGGGCTAAGAACAAGTAGATAACGAGAAATGGTGTAGAGAAAACCTCATAGTCAAGATTAACAGCATTCCCAGGCTTTAATCAACGCCTCACTCCTTACTACTGTCCGATTTTGGTATAGGGTGAGCAGGCATGTTGCCATTGAACTGGATGGGTCATGTATACATCTGCTACTAACAGATAATTCGTGTATGACGGAGAACCCGGAACTCTTCTAAACTTCAGGTAGCACAACGATTTCGTTTTGTTTCGTCATGCCCGATGGTGTCGTGATACTCGAACTGGTCCCTGCCGGGCCTCTCAGGCTTCCCCCTTTACGAATTCCAGTAATGCGGTAGGACTTCGACGCGTTTCAAACCGTTTCAATTGTGGTGCCCTATCGGTCCTTCCAGGTAGTTGGGCTAGATTGCTAGATTACTAGCAGATATGTAGGTTTCGGTGCCTAACGACTATTTACCAGGACATCGCCTGTCTCCTGCTCGGCCGTAAGATATGGACAAACTTAACAACTATCTAAGCTGAGAGCCTCCGAAGGACTAAGCCGCGACAGATCATCTCGATCTAGGCCTCCATAGGCCTCTCCGGGAGACACAGGACTGCTAAATGCCGTCAACTGTACAGGGTTTACGTGGCCTAGAACGTGTAGTTGCAATCAAATAATTTTCCCGAATCATTCTCTTACTTCACCTAATTCGGCCACTACCCGGCCTACCGGTTGGCCGACGGCAATCAGATGACTATGCGGCTAGGAAATCATGTCATGATCAACATGTGAACAGGGAAGCCCAGGACTATGCTAAATTAGATACGGGATAGTTATGACCCGAAGGAAGGGTGCTCATCCGAATATGAGTTCGCTGGCTTGATTGGTTACAGATTGGCCGGGAAAGAGTACGCGTTGGTAGGTAATTGAGCAGGTTACGTCCGGAACAAGCTAACTCCACCTCGATAGGAATTGCTAACGAAGTCTAGCACCCCTATTTCTAAAATGGTTCTTAGGATAAGTCACTAGGAGAGCCCATGGGATAGATATCATTAGTTTAGGATATATCATCGAGAACACTAAGTCCCCTATATTTCTATCCCATAGCTGAGGAGTGGGTAGGGGTATATTTTATTTAAAGGGGTAACAATACTAGTCTAACCTAGTGGGAGACCAGTATACTGATTAGTTGATTTTCCATTACAGCGTTTAGAATCCAATTAACTTTATGACGCGAAATTATTATATTCACCCAATTCAGAAGAAGTAGACACCATCCCCTATTTGTCATGTTCGTGAATTGATATGAATCTAAATGTGCCGGTATAGTAGAAAATCCCAAGGATTAGTAGACCGTTTATATTTGTGTATACCAGAATAAACAAATCGACAGCAAAGGTAGGTACGTAGAACCAGCCCTTGTTATGACTTTGCCCTGGAAGTAGTCTATATTCACGAACAGTAACTACCTTCTAACCTAGGTACCTACAGGCATGGCACAAGACGATATAGAATGAACATATGAAACTTATAAGTTACATTACATTTCAACCAGCTACTCGACCAACCCGGCTACTGGAAGTTCGTATGCCTATATATTTTCACTGATATCATTAACTGAGTCCTCGCCTTAGAGTAAATCTATTTAAATAAGTTAGAATAGTACCCTCGGGTAGATCTGTGCTTGAAAGGCGTAAGTCGAAATAATTAGGCCCTTCGACTCCAGGGTAAATGGCGGCGTTTCAAGTGATCATCCACTCTCCAGTAAATGATTGGCTACTCTACGTTGTGAAGCTTATAAGCTGGTTTCTGCAAGCCCTCTTGCTGTAAGGTAGTGCTAATAGTTTGTCATCATCACACTAGTAACGCGGGCGTAACATTCAAGCATA